GCGATGCTGACCTAGTTGAGCAAATAATCTGAGATAGTATAAGGAAGCCTTGACTCATAAGTGACCGATAGGAGATGACACATTCTAAAATTTCAGAATGAAATACTGTTGGTCCTTGGACTGTGATTTGCTTCTCCTTCCAGAGATTACTCCTGATGTCCCGCCTTCCACTCCCCATAGGATGGAACTTTCCCTCCAAACCCATGACAGACAGGTAACATCAGTGCTGTTATGTAACAGAAGGTAATAAGAAAACTCCTAGCCTGAGCCCTTGGGAACTGCTGCCAGTCAGAACAGGCAATGCTGAGCTAGTTGAGCAAATAATTTGAGATAGTATAAGGAAGCCTTGACTCATAAGTGAACGATAGGAGATGACACATTCTAAAATTTCAGAATGAAATACTATTGGTCCTCGGACTGCGATTTGCTTCTCCTTCCAGAAATTATAGGAGCAGAGATCAAAAGTCAAAAGAACTCCTATGAAATATTATTTATTTATTTAAAATATTTTACCCCACCTTTCCAGGCAGTTTACAGCTGGTTCTAAATGTGAAGTGTTATATTCTGGAGGATTTTGGTAGCTAGTCCAAAGAAGTAACTTTTCCAGGCTCTGCTCTGGCAAAACGTGCTACTAATGATATAGCCCTTACCCCTCTGAGATAGTATCTGGCCTGGTAAAAAGTTGTGGGTGTAAGGTCTTATACTCGTGAGCAGGGGCATATAATATAGAGTAGGAAAGCTACTGGGAAATTCTCAGTCTTTATTTTCGAAATACAGTATTGGCACACTGGGGAAAATCCTATTGGTATAGTTACACTGGCATAAACTGGATCTGTGTGCCATAAGTAATTTATTTCAATGAATTAAAAGTTTCATAACCCCACAACCCTTTAAGATTCTGAGGCTCCTTGGGGTTCCCTTTTGATTCCCTGGGGAAGTTTACGAGAGTCTCAGGATGAGGGGGGAGCCTTTAATAGCCAAAAATTGGCACTGCTGGGATCAGATACTCCCTCCCTGTCCCAAGGCACCCATAGGCTCCCCCAGGGCAAAAGGGAGCCCCAGTGAGCCTTGGAAACTGAAATGGAGTGGATAGGAAGTTTTCATTTCATTTGAATTAATTATTTCTGGATTGTGGCCACTGATCCCCACCCTTGGAATCTGTAAACTTCCTTAATATTTCTTTATGTGATGCTTCCCAACAGATTTCACTTTTTATTACAGTATCTTGTTGGCTTCAGTGCTTAAAACTATGGCAATACAAGATGAGTTTTTCAGCCCTTTCTCTAAATATCTTGAAATGTTTTGAGATCTGGATGGTTGCGCAAAGAGTAGGAGACGAGTGGCATGCACAAGTTGACTGGGGGAGCTGGGTGGGGTGGGGGATGGGAATGTGCAGTAGCCACTAAAACATGGTGTCCCCCCGAATTCTGGGTTACTCCATTACTTTGTTAATAGTATACCTGTTTCTAGAATCAACTGACACAGAAGGAGTTCTGCACCCTTGCCCCAATTCTGTATTCCAGTTCTGGGTTACTCCATTACTTTGTTAGTAGTATCTGTTTCTAGAATCAACTGACACAGAAGCAGTTCTGCACCCTTGCCCCAATTCTGTACTGTACAGAATTGGGCAGGCATCTACTTCTTAAATCAGCTCATCCACTTCTGGAGCACTTCAAGTCCCTCATACCTCGTACAGGATTCTACCTCAGGCCACACATCATTGTTGGGTGTACCGAAAACTCTGTGAGTGAATAAACAGAGTTGATTCATTTACCTTGGGTAAATTGTCATTGAATGGCTTCCGCTGAACAGTTCTTGCAAATTTCCTACTGGAAGGTTACAGCAGTGACACACAAGAATCCCTGAAGTGGTCTTGTCTACGCATCCAGTCAGCTCACTGCATCCAGAAGCAGTTCTCAGAACAGGGGTCTTGACAGACACGCCAAAATTCTGGGCCTTGCTGTAATGCCAACTCCATGGTCATTAGTCTGACTATACTGTAATAACGACCCAACCTTAGGGAGTTACAGGGTCTTCCTCCATTCTCAGAGTTTGACTCTGAAACGTCTGGGACTGAAATGAGACTGACTTGCAGCCCTAAATGCTAATTTTTGAAGTATGGTACTTTGCTTTATAAAATGGCTTGATATCTCTACTTAGGAGTGAAAGGTGGCACAAAAATTTATGAACATTATAATACAAAGCAACTAAATAAAAGAAATGAGCACTTGCTAGTTCAATTGATTTATCCAAAGTGATTCACTGGAAGAAATGGCTAGATACTTAACACATTGATTGTTCTTGGAAACATTTTGAAAACCTAGTAGTGATGGAGAATCTGTGGACCTCAGATGTTTTTGAGCAACAGCATCTGTGACTACCAACCACGCTGGCTGGAACTGATGCACTGGGAGTCTAACCATATCCGGACAGTCACAAGGCTCTTCATTACTGGTATGGTTTAGACCTTGCTTATCTAAAGAAATGTCTGTAGCCCCTTCCCTTTGCATTGGCATCATCCCTCACCCCCTCTCCTTTGGGCTTTTAGAATAATATTTCAACATCACTTTGGTTTTGCTGCTTTAATCCTAGTTTATTTTCTAATTCTGCTACCATGTTCTCAACATGTGAACCACTGAAAAGAGCTGTGGCTAGTTACATTTAAATGTAATCGATAAAATATAGAAGTGAAATAAAAACTTGTAGCAATAATATATATTTTTCATATTATCTCCATTCATTCTCTGCCCTGCAGGGGGAAAAACAGTTGAAAGGGTATGTGTCATACCAGTTTCAATTTCTCTGGAAGTACATTTTCCTGTTGCTTTGGAAACAATGCTGCAACTTCTGTATGACATGCAGTCACAAGGATATTAACATAACAGGGGATTGCCCCATTCCACTAACTGCAACACTGCTTTGGGTAAGGAGTGTCCTGTTTATAAATAGAATCTGTTTAAGGAAGGTGTTTCCTGGAAAAGACCTTGATGTTAGGAAAGTGTGAAGGCAAGAGGAGAAGGGGACGACAGAGAAGGAGATGGTTGGGCAGTGTCATTCAAGCTACCAACATGAATTTGACCCAACTCCAGGAGGCAGTGGAAGACAGGAGGGCCTGGTGTGCTCTGGTCCATGGGGTGTGGTTTATTTAGACACAATGAGGTTCCTGGATAAAGCTGAAGCATTTTGCCATTTGAGCCAAAGGACAAGCCAATGCTGCTCCCTTCCACATACAGAAGCTAATGAGATTGACACTTGAAGCTCATGATAAGCACTGACATCTGGAGAGCATCTTCCTCTACCCCTGAATGCCGGAGGACAGCTTTCAGGAGGCAGGGCAAGCCATGTGACTCACCCTGTGTTGCATTTAAATATGTTGCTGGGATCAAATCCCTAACATCCAGTAGTCATTCTAGCTCCTTATTATCTATCCCTCATGGCAAATCCGGTTTCTGGGATGACAACGACAAACAAAACAGGTCCATTGTGTGTTATACTGTATTTCCACAAAACAATTTGTTCAGTTTTGTTTGGTTTCTTCTCTCTAAATGTGTGTTCTTTGTAGCTTTGTAGGGGTATAGTTTGTGATAGCATCCTGTAGGTACAAAATAGATTTTTATTTCCTTGAGCCAAATCTCTTTTTCCGCAGCTTCAGTAGTCAATAAAGCCACCTCTACAAAGCTGGACAAAGTGATTCTGCTTCCCAAAGTGAGGCAGGAAACTGCGCCCCAGCACCTAAAGCCAACCACATTATTTTGGCTCCTGAATGTCACTATCCACTCTTTCTGATAGGGAGAATTTAATAGTAAATTAATAACAATGTACTGTAGTTTTCAGATATTCCAGACCTGTTCCTTGATGGGGCTGCCTTGCTCTGTATCCCATCTATGCCATCATTTTGTTAAAGAACCTCTGTGCTGCACTGCTCTCGTATATAGATATACTGTATAACAAAATTATATCCTGCCTTCCCTTATGGACTCCTATGGGTAGCAAATACAGTACAGTATATAAAAATCGACGTGGGGGGGGAGAGGAGGAGGGGAAACACAGAAATCCATAATCAGAGAAAGGGAACATTGAGCCTAACCTTGAGAGACACAATTACTGTAACATTTCTCAAAAGTGCTCCTGCCTTCCCTTATGGACTCCTATGGGTAGCAAATACAGTACAGTATATAAAAATCGACGTGGGGGGGGAGAGGAGGAGGGGAAACAGAGAAATCCATAATCACAGAAAGGGAACATTGAGCCTACTGTAACATTTGTCAAAAGTGCTGAGGTTTAGATTCTGATGAAACCCAGGATTTCCATCACTGGGAGGACAACCAGTGAGAACAGGTAGAGATCCTAGAGTAAAAGAAGACTGGATTTATTTTGGGCTTTACTAAAATCCTAGAGTCTAAGACCTTTTATTACCCGAGACAGAGCAACAGGTTTTCCCGCATACTGTAGTACCCAAAGGCAGTCACTTTATTTTGTCAAAGGAGGCAGTTCGTGAGCACCTTTCCCTGCCTCTGAAAGCGAAAAATACATTCGTAACAAATTAAATACTAAATAATCTTCGGCCCTTTCTCCGCACTCTATCTATGGGACTCTGTTTCCCGGCAAGGGCTGGTCCTTCAGTACAACTTTCGTGAGCCCTAAACTATGGCCAGACAGGGAGCTTAACCTGTAGGGTATCTACCTTACGCCTTTCCTATATTAAGCCTGCAATCGCCTGGGAACATAACATAGTTGGATTTCGCAACCAGAACAATTTGATCGGAGCTAAAAATATACAGGAGGGGCGGGGATAGCCACGTCTAAGCGGGAAACGTCTCAGCGTGTGGGGCGGTCTTTCATAACCACGGCCAAACTTGTTATTTTTTTTCTTCCTGCTTCTCAATGCTTCTCCCCCCCCTCCCGCCTCAGGAGGAGGGCCCAGCGAGAAGGCGGCGAAGCAGGGAGTTCCGCAGGGCGTTCAGCTCCTCCTCCTCCTGGCTAGGCTTTTATGCTACTTTCTCGGAAATAAGGAAGCGATCAGAACAGGGCTGGGCAGGAGCAGGAGAGGTCCCCGCAAGAGTCTCCTGATCGCGTACGTGCCAGGTAAGCGCCGATGGCAGCAGCAGCCTCCGAAGGGAAAGACACACACACACCCTGCGCTGTTTCCGGGCCCTGCTGTGGACCCTTGCGGGAATTATGATCTTCCTGGGCAAGGGCAAGATGGGGAGGGCGGTCGCCTCTAGTACCCCGAGGAGGTCGCCTTCTAGGCATGTTTCTTCCGTGGCGAGGGCCTGCAATCGGTGGGGCTTCTCTGCTCGATTGGGGGCAGGCTGATGAGTTAGAAAGAAGCGTGTCTGACGAGCTAAGGGACATCTTTTCTCTGGTCCGGCCCCCTTATTCCCAGCGGGGATAAAGGTAGCGGAGTAACGGAGTAACGAGAAACGAGGGAGCCCCGAGGAACGTCGACGAGTTCCTCTCTTGATTATGCGGCGTTCTGGGAGTTATAGTAGCCCAGCTTCCCGAACAACTTTACTAAACTCCTTCTCTCGGGTGCGACTTGCGGGGAGTGAGCGCTGCCCGCCCAGGGCGTCGTTTCCGAGCTGGGTACAGTAGAAGGAGGGAGGGACGTGAGCGCTGCCCGCCCAGGGCGTCGTTTCTGAGCTGGGTAGAAGGAGGGAGGGAGGGAGGGAGGGAGGGAGTGCCAGGGGTGCTCCTCACTGCCATATGAGCCGACGGGGGAAAGTAAAGCCCTTGCTCTGCCAGTCTCTCCTCTCCTCGTAACTGCAAAGGTACCCTAAAGAAGTCTTCGTGACGCACCTTTTGTCAACAATTTCTGCCCTCTTGCGTTCCTCCTTTTCAGCCTCACCCAAAGAAGGGGGGGGGTGAAAGGCCCTGGAGGGCAGGGCCCTGTCATTATTTGTCTTCTCTGGCCTCCTCTATAAGCCATTGTCAAATGTGTTGTCAGGTGGCTTATAAGTAATATTTGCATCGGGGCCTTTCGTAATTATGACGGTTTAGCAGAAATTATGATGTGTTTCTAGTGCTCAGCTTGCTTCACGCCTAGTAACAGTAATCCTTATGACACACTCTTGTAATGAAAGCCAACATTATTAACCTCTTGTAATGGACTTGAGGAGTGCTGAGGGACTGTTGTTTGCCCAAAGCAATTTAATAAGAAATAAGAATTTGCATTTTATGCTTTTAACTAGTCCAGGGCACTGTCAAGTGTTTTTGCAGTCATTCTCCATACTTCTTCCACCATTTCCTGTTTCAGAAATAATGGCCTTGTAAGGTAGGGTTGCCGAAGTATTTGTTTCTTTATTTTCATTACATTTTTATATGTTTTTCAAGACAGTGTGCACTTGATTCCCCCCCCCCTTTTAATCTCATGACAAACTTGTCAGGTAGGTTAGGTTGACAGAAAGCGATCAGGCATGGGAAAGCTGGTTAATGATATTAATAAGTGCTGTATGTTCTTACCTTCTGGTTGACTACTACCAAAGCAAATGAGAACAACTAAATAAACCATAGATCTTCCATTTATGGTTCTGTTCTTCTAGCCAGAAAAGTAATTGTAAACAATATAGGAGTTGTCCTCTGATTTGTTAGGTTAGAAGGAAGCTGGTGTGTCAGGTTAGTGTGTCACAACAAACAGATCATGATCAGAAGGTCTGCAATTTATTGAGTTCCCCATCTACAGGAGGAGAATTGGCTGATATGTGTGCACCAACGGCACACAGTCTTATTCAGGTAAAGTTAAACACAGCCTGGCTTATTGTGACATCTGAGCATGCCCAATGTCTAGCCCAAGATTTCTTTGTAAGCTTCATTGTCAGTGGAGATGATGCTGGACTTGATGGACTCTTGGACTAATGTAGTATGGTTATTATGTTTCTCTGAAGAGAGAAAAAGGAAGGCAACCCAGCCTACACACAGAGGGAACTCGTTATTTCAAATGTTCCTCTATGGGAAACCCAAGTTAAAGGGCTGTGTTCTGCTACAAGGAGAGCCTACATTTAATTAGAGTGACAATTGTCTGTGCTTTATTTTATCCCTGCAGGATGTCTGTCAAAATTCACTCTTTAAGCCAATCATCTCCTTAGAAGGCTGAATTATTTTCAGGTTTTGAAACCAAAGTATAGTCTAAATCAGAAAGGATTAATTTCCCCATGTACTTGCATGGAGTTATAAAAAAAGTTAAACCAAAACTAGGAACTGTTTCTTGCATTACATGGTACATTCAGACATTTTGAGAAGCATTGAGTTGCTGGGAGAGTTACCGGGATAAGGTACCATGGGATTAAATGGTGGGAAGTTTTGGGAGTCATGTTTCTAGTCCTTAAAGGTTTGTTTGTTTGTTTGTTTGTTTGTTTGTTTGTTTATTTATTTATTTATTTATTTATTTATTTATTTATTTATTTATTGTATTTATAGCCCGCCTATCTAGTCATTTCGACCGACTATTTCTTTGTAATCAAGTGGGCAGTGCATGTGGAAATCACAGAAATGGGATAGGGAAGATTCAGCATCTCTTGTGGAATATTACACCCCTCTGACTAGCAGATATAGATTAAATGAAGTTAGATAAGAAATTATATATAGTGTTTTACTGCTGATATGTAGTACATACTAAACACAGAATTTAGATGACCTCAACTTAGAGTGTGCATTACATGAAATTTTATAGATTTCTTTAAGGTTGTAAAGTGAAAGTGGTATGTTAGATAACTGAAGTGCTATTATGTTATTATTTATATAGTGATCAGCATGTGTTTGTGGTGTCAAATACTTCCCTTGAGTCAGGGAAGGTGTTCTAAATATTACTGTTTTCCTTCCCTCCCCCTTATTTTCCTCAGTGGCTGAACCCACAACAAAGACACCTCCTGTCTAAATCTCCTGTAGTTGTTCCTAATAACATTGCTATTTCTGTTATCCTGTTTCTAGTTGTTCCATTGCAGATGAATCTGGTTTAGGAACAGCTGTAACCCCCTTGTGATGTTTTCTGCACAAGCAATAGCAGCTGCTGCACCCAGGATTATTTTGGGATGCAGCTTTGTGGCAGAATAGACTTGAAGCAAAAAGGGCTTGTGAAGTGTTTCAAGGCAGGCCAAGATGTTATGAGGGAAACTTGGGATTGTGCCCCGTGTCCTCTTTTAACGCTAGTGCAAAGTGGATTTAGAAGGCATGGGTGGGGTGCTTGTTCCCTTACAACATGCACCTGTACATTCATGCGCATGTGCACACACTAGGTTCATCCTGTAAAATCTTCCCAGTGTGTTTTGCTTTGCTTTATTTACTTTTTTCTTCATTTGGTAGTTTTGCTAGTTGAGAAGACAGCTGGGGGTAGTATTTGCACAGGAGAATGCATGGGCAGGCAGAGCATGATTGAGGATCTTTCGGGTTTTGCCTGCTGACCCTTCCCCGCAAGTTACTCTTCTTTCTTTCCTAGTAACTACCTTAGCAAGCAGTTAGGAACCTTCCCATGGCAACATCCATGCATCTGTATTTTTAGAGTGAAAGTTGGGGATTCTCTGGTTCCATTTCACCTTGGCTGTGAACACACTTGGTCTTCTCTAACCTCCTGCATCCCAGGGTTTGGCTGTGATTACGTTGGTGGCTTGATCTGCAGCCCATTTTATGTTTCTGTTTGGGTTAAGTGATGGCAGAGGGACCATGGATTATTTTGGTGTCCATGTCCACACTAGCCCTTCAATCTGATATGGTCCAATCTGCACCACAATCCATAGCCCCTTTTCTTTGATCCTGCCCTCTTCTGATCTCCAGCTCTCCTTTTATGATTCACTGTAAAGTTGGTAGGCTGCTGAAAGTGTTACAGGGGATTAGGGAAAAGGGACAGTTTTTTAAAAGTTCTCAATCATGTACAAACGTACATACATGTTGCAGAAACATAGTATGCTGTAGTTCATCACAGTTGTTTCTATTTCATATTGATTTTTTATCTCTTTTCCCCCCCGATGTAGAGATGTTCTAGCTGAATCTAGCACAAAACTATCAGTGTAGTGATAATGTCATCTAGGGCTAAACTCAGTCATTTGTAGAGAAAGATTGTGGGAGTAGATGTTCCCACAGATCCTAATTTCACACCCAGCTAAGTACTGTATGTTACTAGTATACCACCCTCAGTTATGCCCCGTGTCCTTTTAAAGAATGGAACAACTGGTTCCATGAGAACCACTGGTCTAGAATCAGCTTTTGAAATCATAGTTACGTGATTTCTGCCAGCCCTAACAAATTTCAGTTGAGATGTTTTGCAAATTTGTGCATGAGTTTGTCCTGCGAGAGGGAAAAAAAGTGTGTGTGTGGGGGGGAGTTTTCAAAAGTTGTAAAAGATGTATTCTGAACTTCAATATGAACATCTCTTTTAATTGTGTGAAATTTTCCAACTAAATTGGAATAGATGTTGTGTATTATGATGAAACTCTTGTGGTGGTGCCAAATTCCACATGGAACATTCTGTCTTTGTATGTCAAAAGACTCCACATTGCCCAACCACTTTCTAAACAGGAGACCAGGCCTTGAGGATACAGAAATACGTAATCAATATGCTAGATATTTTTCAAACTTTACACCTACAGGAAATGTTTCCTACATTATTTCATCTTCAGAGGAAGATTCACCTTTGTATTCTGGAAAATGTTCAGAGGCATACACGGGCTTGGATAATGCGTAACAAGCAAACCATGGTGCAGCCACTGGACCTCTGCCCCAGGCCAGGGCCTACAAACTGCCTGATTTGAAGACAATGGTGAAATATGCAAGAGGAAATTGAATTTGTGTGATCTAAGAGCATGATGTACATTATGCATTTTAGTTCTGAATTTTAAAAATACAGAGAAAATATTATTAACCTTTTCAACCTGTCATTATTCCTTTTCTTTTAAGGAAAGATAGTACAGGTAATAAGAAAATTTGGGTAATAGCCAGAATCTTGAATTTGCGTCTCGCATAAATAATTCTACCTGTTTGCTTTGCCGTCCATTGCATTTCTTTCCATATAACGTGTTCCATTTCTTTCAAACCCATTACAATATAAGGTGCCAGCCACCCTTATATTTGTGTAATTTGGGGGGCCACATGGCCTT